TTGATTGACTATAAGATGAAGATGACCAGCAACACTAACAAGAGAGAAACGATATCCGTGTCTGTTGCAGTTCCGAGAGAAGCAACGGCTGCTGTTGCAAGGTCTGTATAATACTAAAGCAAGCTTTTCTTTTAGAACAGAAATATTCAGTCTCCGTAGAGACTGTCAAAAATTGCCAATGCCGACTATATTTCAAGTCGTCACGGCGGGGTATTGGGAAAAGTTTTCAATTAGCAATAATCGCGCCTCGGATAAACCTCATTGGCTACGATACTGCCACTGCGCAAAGCTGCCGGATGTATCCCCCGCGCATCAGTCCCAGCGAGCCAGGCTCCCATTTCGGAAAGGCGGGTTTGCGTGCGCAGGACAAACCCTTGACCCTCGCTTGCTTCGAAATGATAATCCCACACCGCGACTTCTGCGGGAGGTGCGGGGTCTCTGACGACTTGACCGTCGGCTTTCAGTGCACTGCGTTTGGTTGAGGATGAAGCGGGGCATCATGGGAGGTAATGTTAATAGCCCAGAGAATGAATTGGGCGGAGAAACGGGGTGGGCGGTGCGCTGGGCTCCCTGGGTCGCCGAGCACTTGCCTCCCAGACAGTTCGGTTTGGTTTTATTTGGCTTTCGAGTCGCACCCTACGGTGTTTGGAGCCATTCGCGGGGGGTGGGGCGACGTGGGCCGTGCAGTGCCAGGGATCGAACCTAGGGCTCCCGCATGCGAAGCCTGTGCTCCAGCCCTTTGAGAAATCATCCTGTACTCCCTGTATTGAGTCTTTTGGGTCGCACCGCCAACTTACTCCAGAGATCACTCCTGGCGGGTTCGGGGGACCTTATGGGGTGCTGGGGATTGAAACCGGGTCGGGCACGTGCAAGGCAAGCGCCCTGTCGGCTGCTCTGTCATTCTGGCCTTACCCCTTCCCCTTTTAAAAAATTGCACTAGAGTTTTTTTTTTAATGTGATATAGATCACATAAAACATATATATAATAACATAACACACACACACATATATATATACACATATATATATATTAGGGGGTTGAGAGACAGTAGTGTAGGTAAAGCAAACCGGGATTTGAAACCCGCCCCACCCTCCTCGTCCCCTGACCCCCCAGCTACTTTCCCTGAAGGCCCACCAGGAGTGATCTCTAAGCCCTGAGCAAAAGCAAGACAAAAATAAAACATTGTAACTTTCCTTCTCCTCTAAACCGGGAACCACCTTGGATTCCCAGACTGAAACTTTGTATCCGTTGAACACTATCTTTCCTTTCCCCAGTCGCTCTATGCTACTTTGTGTTGTTTTGTTTTGGAGCCAGGCCCTGCGATGCCCAAGGGTTACTCCTGGCCCTGTGCCCGGGGATGACTCCTGGTGTGTTTGGGCGATCAAACCCCCGCCAGCCACGTGCAAGGCAAGCACCTTGGCCGCTGACCTCTCTCTCCAGACTCAAGAAAGCATGCTTCATCATCTCTTATGCAGTCCTGAATTTCCCATTTTACAGGTAACAAATAAAAACAACTTATTTCTTTGGGACGTAAGCCATAGTGTCCTGTGTTTCCTATCAGGCTCCACTAATGATACTAATTTCACTTAAAGAACTGGAGTAGCATATATCTGAAATTATTATTTGGGGGGAGGGACCCCACAAGAGGGGGATTTGGGGACCATGTGGTGCCTGGGGACCAAACCCTGGCTTCTAGCATGTGTGCAGCCACGGACCCTTGAATTAAAAGAAAACATTTTTTTCTTTTGGATTTTGGGCCACAACCAGGGTACTTAGAGGCCACTTCTGGCTCCATGCTCAGAGGCTTATGTATGATGTCAGGTCAGGAGTGAACTTGGGGGTGCCTGGCATAGAACCTGGGTCAGCCACAAAGCACCGTACCTCTTCTGCTAGCTCTGTGAACCTGAATTTTAAATGTTTTGCTTTGCGGTCGCATGTGGCACTGCTCAGGGCTGGCTTCTGGCTCTGGGATCACTCCTGGAGGTGCTGGAGGTCTGTATGGGGTGCTGGGGCTCAAACCTGGGTTGTCTGCATGAAAGGTCAAGTGCCCTGCTTTCTGCTCGACCTGCCTCTCCAGCCCCTGTCCACACCATCTTTTTTTTTCTTTTTGAAGTGGCAAAGGGATCAAATCCAGGATCTCAGATGTGCAAGTGAAGCTCTACTACAGAGCTACATTCAGAACCTGATTAGGTTCTCGCCGGCCATAAATTGATGTTACATTTAGGCAATGTTAGAAAATAGCGGTTCTCACATTAGAAACAACTGGAAAGTTTGCAAAGGGACCCTTAATTTCTAATTATTTGGGGGCCACACCATTCATGGGCATCTCTCCTGACCACTGAAATGAGCATCTTTGGGAATGACATCTGAGTATCGGATTTTTTTCCGGGGGGTGGGGATTTTTGGGTCACACACGGCAATGCTCAGGGGTTACTCCTGCCTCTGCACTCAGGAATTACTCCTGGCGGTGCTCAGGGGACCCTGTGGGATGCTGGGAATCGAACGTGGGTTGGCCACGTGCAAGGCAAACGCCCTACCCACTGTGCTATCGCTCCAGCCCCATAGTATCGGATTTTTTCACAAAATAAAAACACAAAATAAGGGGCCTGAATGATAGAACAGTGGGTAAGGTGCTGAACCTGCTTTGACACCCAGCACCTCATATCGTCTCCCAAGCCCTGCCAAGAGTGACCTCTGAGCACTGCAGGCACAGCCCCCAACCCCCCCCAAAATTAACAATAATAAATTGTTTTTCTTCTGGGTCACCCCGTCGATGTACAGGGGTTACTCCTGGTTCATGCACTCAGGAAATAGCCCTGGCAATGCTTAGGGGACAATATGGGATGCTGGGAATCAAACCTGGTTCGGCTGCGTGCAAGGCAAACTCCCTACTCACTGTGCTATCTCACTCCAGCCCCACAATAATAAAATTTTTAAATAAGAAATAAACTGGAATAGCTAAGTTAAACATATATACATATGTGTGTGTTTGTATGGAATTTAATTACATCGCAGTGAGTGGAAAAGATCTTAAACACTTAATTTCTATTTATTTTGGGGCCACACCATGTGGTGCTCAGGGGTTACTCCTGGCCAGTTTGTGGGACCCAATATGGACTGTCAGGGGTCGCACTCGGGTTGGCTGCATGCAAGGCAACCGCCCAACCCACTGTACCATTTCTCCAGCAACAACTCTTTTTAAGCTCCAGATTGAGACAGTGAATTCCTAAATTAGTGCTGTCTGACGGAGCATAATCCAAGCACTTCTCTCTCGAAAAGAAGCGGATTTGCTTGTTTGCCTGAGAGCACTTTGCCAACCCAAACTTCAGAGCGAGAGAAGGGGCACGACCTGAGAGCCCGGCTCCCTCGCGGTGGAACTGGAGGACTGTGGGATTTGTAGTTCCCCTCCTGCATACGCGGTTCCTGAACTACAACTCCCAAAGTGCAACTGTAGCCTAGTCAGTCTCCCCGTCCAGCGCTTGAAGTGTCCCTCAAACAGTGGAAGGTAAGTGTGTTCTGTGAGGGGGTCGCAGGTTTCTAGAAGTTGGGGGTCGCTTGTGAGGGACTTCGTGTCTCCTCACTGCCCCTTCGTGAGACCAGCCAGGGAGCAGCTGTTTCAACTGAGCCAGTTCGCTGCAGGGTTTGCAGAGCCCTTTGGTTCCAGGCATCCGGACAGCGTTGTTTTGCTGCTCACGCGTTGCTGTGGAATGTCAAGGAGAAATCAGGGGTCCCCAGCCTCGATCGGCAAAGCCCAGCAGAACATCATGTTCGCTTGAGACTTCTGCGTTATAGCAAATGATATGACAGCCTTGCTTCCACCTCTGGAGAAGCTGAGCGCAGAAGTAGACCGGCTCGTCAGGTCTGGGTGCTCTTTGCCCTGCCCAAGTGGCAGAGTTTGCAAGTGAGGGTCAACTAAGAGAATACGGAGGAAATTGCATTTTTTGTTCAGTGTGTACTTAATTACACAGAGAACATTTTGAAATGCCTGAAAAGTCTGAGAAACAAATTCTTCAGTGCCGGGCACCACTCGTGTCACTTTAAACATGCCTATGAAGAATTAAGATATGCCGGGTTTGTTTGTTTCTGTTCCACACCCGACTGCTCAGGACTCACTCCTGACAGGGCTCAGGGAATCATTCAGGGTCCTGAGGATCAAACCTCGTCAATCATATGCTAGGCACGTGCCCTACCATCTGGTATTATGTCTGCCCCCAAGATATATGCTGGTTTATTTTTTCCCCTTTTTTGGAGGGGGGTCACATATACCCAGCGATGCTCAGGCCTTATTCCTGGCTCTGTGCTCAGGGATCAATCCTGGCAGGCGCATGGGGCCATACGGGATGGCGGGGATCAAACCCGGGTCAGCTGTGTGCAAGGAAAATGCCCTCCCCGCTGTGCTGTCACTCAAGAGTAGATGTATGAAACTCACAGTCCCTTCAAGAGAGTAAGTATTAAGTAAAAACATAAACATATTCATCTTCTAGAGACAGTTTAGATGTAGTCATAGATGGAATAAAGAGCTGGTAAGAGATTTAAAGGATATCGGCATAAACCTGGATTTGATCCCTGGTACCACATGGTCCCCTTAGCGCTGCCAGGAGCGACACAGAGTGGGGAGGAGCACCTGGGCGTCACTGGGCATGCCTCAACACCATCGCCAATCAAATACAAAAAGGCCCAAGTATCACTGCTGTTGGATTTCAAATCCAAAAGTCCCCTCCATATTTTTCTTCTGGGTGGGAATTTATCTGGGTGAGTGTGTTTGTGCCTGGGATTAGTCCAGGGTCTCAAACACAGGAGTCACATATTGTACACCACGTTCTATCTCCCACCCCTGCAATTAATCTGGTGACAAAACTGTCCTGCTGACCTGTGCAGAGCTAGGATGGAAGTAGGGCAGCGTGGCTAAAAGGCCCCTGCAGGCAAGGGCCTTCCCTCCGTGTGGTCACTCGGGGTCCACCTTTGTTTCCCTTAAGAGCTTTGTCTGTCTCTCCCCAGGATGACCATGAATTTTGTGCCGACTCTGAAAGCCCCTGGCGGCTGCTGGTTGGTGCATGTCAGCCGGCAGTGCTCACGTGGCTCCCACGGGCTGTTTGTGCCCCCCAGTTCTCCTCCAGACCCCGAGAAAGTCAAAGAGTTGCAGCGCTTCGTCACCCTTTCCAAGAGGCTCCTCGTGATGACCGGGGCGGGCATCTCCACGGAGTCGGGGATCCCAGACTACAGGTCGGAAAAGGTGGGACTTTACGCCCGCACGGACCGGCGGCCCATCGAGCACCGGGATTTCCTCCAGAGCGCGCCCATCCGTCAGCGGTACTGGGCGAGAAACTTTGTGGGCTGGCCGCAGTTCTCCTCCCACCAGCCGAACCCCGCGCACCGGGCTCTGAGCCAGTGGGAGCGACTTGGGAAGCTGTACTGGCTGGTGACCCAAAATGTGGACGCCTTGCACACCAAGGCGGGAACTCAGCGCCTGACGGAGCTCCATGGATGCATGCACAGGTGCAGGCCGGGCTGAGATGTCTGGACAGGGACGGACACACACACACACTCACAACACAGAAGTGCAGGCCGGGCTGAGATGTCTGGACACACACACACACACACACACACACACACACACACACACCCAGGAAGTGCAGGACTGGCTATGGTCTTCGCAGGGCTTGAGAGAAGGGTTCAGGATACAGTTTTTTTTTTTTTCCCTTTTTGGTGGGTGCATCCCAATAGACTGAGTGAGGGATCAGGGAAGGGAAAATGGGAATGGGCTGAACACCCAGAAATGTGATGTTCGTAAGGTGCTCACTGCTTCGGACAGCTAGGACTCAATTCTGAGCTCCCCTGGGCAGTCTGAAGAGCTTGGTTGGGGTTGTGCCATTGAAGTATCAAGGGAGGTTGGGTGTTTGGCCAGCATCTCCTACCCCTTCAGGGCTGAAGGACCTGGGAGGAAATTGGCTCCCCAATACTGACTCTAATTTTCATTAGGGTCAAGAAGAGTCTCAGAAGGGCTGGAGCGATAGCACAGCGGGGAGGGCGTTTGCCTTGCACATGGCCAACCCGGGTTTGATTCCCAGCATCCCATATGGTCCCCTGAGCACCACCAGGAGTGATTCTTGAGTGCATGAGCCAGGAGTAACCCCTGTGCAAAGCCGGGTGTGACCCAAAAAGCAAAAAAAAAAAAAAGAAGAGTCTCAGGTGGGGCCCGAGAGATAGTATGTGAATAAGGTGTTTGCCTTGCATGCGGCCAACTCAGGTTCAACTCAGGCCCCCTGAGCCTGCCAGAAGTGATCTCTGAGTGTAGAGCCAGCCCTGAGCACAGCTGCATGTGGCCCCCCCCAAAAAAGATAAAAAGACAAACGGGGGGATCAGGGAAGTAACCTGAAGGACTGTGGTTCATACTTTGGGGCCAGGCTGTGCTCAGGGACAGTTCACTTAGGAGCGCGCTGGGGAGTGAGCCTGGCGCAGCTGGTCTCTACTCATCACCTCAGCGGCTCTGGAGCACACGCTTGCACGCGGGAGCCTGAGCGGCACAGGGCACCGACGACAGGTGTGCTAGGCTGCTAGAGCTTCTGGGGGGTAGGTGTGCAGACAAGAGCAGCTTGGCACGGGCTATTTGCGTATGCATTCGAACTGGTCAGTTGCCTGGTGACAGAATGAATACCTGTCCACTGTGTCCCTTCCCCCCATTTCACGCTTGGGGGTCACTCCGAGCAGTGCTTGGGGACCACTGTGGTGTGAGAGGCTGAGCCTGGGCCTCCCACATGCACGGCATGTGCTCAGCCAACTTAAGCTGTTTCTCTAGCCCTTTTTCTTTTTCCTTTTGGGTGGCGGGCATACTCAGAGTTGCTCCTAGCCCAATGCTCCTACCTCGCTACCAGTGGTGCTAAGAGCACCATATGCAGTGACGGGGATCGAACCAGAGTTTGTTGTGTGCAAGGCAAGAGCAGTAGCCCCTGGACTATCTCCCCAGCCTGGCTGTTTGTGCTTTCTCCCTTTGACTTGGGGGTGGCGCCAGGGAAGGAACTCAGGCCTTACTCGGGAGGAGTGTGTCTCTCGCTCAACCCCAGAAAACTTTCTGTCAGACAGAGCTTGAGACGGGCTTGGGTGTGACCGGGCAGAATGGAGAAAGAGGGCTAACAGCAGGGAACTTGCCAAGCCCAGGAGTCTCCTCTGAGGCGACGACAAGGAAGCCAGGCTGGAAAGGTTAGACCCAGAGCACCAGAAGCATCTGAAAACCAGGTTGTACAGTTTGAGTCTGTTGTGACCTAAATAATCATTAGTGGTTTCTGAGCAAGAAAACAATATGATAAAAATAGCATTCGAGGAGGGTTAGACAGGATTAGAACGAATGACTCAGGGAGGTCAGCCTGAAGGACCAGATTAAGATGTTGTCAGGGGAGTGAAAGGGAATGACGGCTGTGGGCCCAAGAGCCCAGTGCTTTTCTTTTTTTCTGTACTGGAGATCGAACCCAGGGCCTTACATGCGGGGCGAGTGCTGTGCTACTGAGCCACATCCCTAGTCCGCCTAATACAGAAGTTTTTCAGATGAACATTCAGACGTGCTCAGAAGAGAGTGGTCTAAGGCGACTCCCATTTGGCATCGCCCAGATTCCAAGACTGGATCAAGTCCACTTTATTCCTATTTGAGTCTCATCTGGCAGTGCTCAGGGCTTCTCCCTGGCTCTGTGCACAGGGATCACTCCTGGCAGAGTTCAGGGGGCCATATAGGATGCCGGAAATCAACCCTGGGTCAGCCATGTGCAAGGCAAGCGCCCTCTCCGCTGTACTCTCTGGCCTGGACTTTGTCCCTTTCTCTATTATTATAGTTTTAATAGATTTGGGATTAAACTGTCTGTGCTTGGGGTGGCAGCCTGGATAACTCCTGGTGCTGCCTGGAAGCCATAGGGTACTGGAGACTTAATAGTGGGGGTCCTGCTTGCCCCCATTTTTTTTTTTTTTTGCTTTTTGGGTCACTCCTGGCGATGCGCAGGGGTTACTTCTGGCTCGGCACTCAGGAATTACCCCTGGCAGTGCTCAGGGGACCATATGGGATGCTGGGAATCAAACCCGGGTTGGCCGTGTGCAAGGCAAACACCCTCCCTGCTGTGCTATCGCTCCAGCCCCTTGCCCCCATTCTCTTCATGCCTCTCAAATACATTCTTTGGTTTGAGGTGACAGCTGATGTAATTCCTCTGCAAGGTTGGGAGCAGAAGGAAGGAGAGCAACCGGGTGATAGCTTAAGAGGTCCTGGGAAGATACTCCTGGAGCTGGAACGCCGGGCTTAGGGAAACTGGGGTGCCCACAATGGTGCAGGGTGCCGGGGTCTTCGGCAGCTGGCTGAGGGGGGCTCCGCTTGGGTTCCAGGGTCCTCTGCCTGGCCTGTGGCGAACAGACGAGGCGTGAGGTGCTGCAGGCACGCTTTGAGGCCCTGAACCCCACCTGGAGCGCCGAGGCCCACGGCTTGGCCCCCGACGGTGACGTCTTTCTCACCGAGGAGCAAGTGCGGCGCTTCCGCGTGGCGCCGTGTGCCCGGTGTGGGGGGCCCCTGAAGCCGGACGTGGTTTTCTTCGGGGACACGGTGCAGCGGGACACGGTGGACTTCGTGCACAGGCGCGTGAGAGAGGCCGACTCGCTGCTGGTGGTGGGCTCGTCCCTGCAGGTACCTGGGCAGCGGCGGGAAGGTGCTCCTCCCAGGGGGCTCGCGCTGGGCACCCCAGCACACCAGCTGACCGGTGTCTCCTGTTCGCGCAGGTGTACTCTGGCTACAGGTTCATCCTCACCGCCCGGGAGCACAAGCTCCCCATTGCCATCCTGAACATCGGGCCCACGCGGTCGGATGCGCTGGCCTGCCTGAAGCTGGACTCCCGCTGCGGGGAGCTGTTGCCCTTGATCGATGCGCGCTGACCGTGGCCAAGCGCTCCTGCTCCCCTGGTGGGCCCGTCCTGCCCGCCGCCGCTCCAGGTACCTGTCTTCCCGCCCTCGCAGAGCTGCGTCCCGCGTCTCCTTCCCTTTTTTGTTCTTTGGTTGGGGGCCACACCTGGTGACACTTAGGGGTCACTCCTAGCGGGGCCCGGGGACTGAACCGCATGCAAGGCAAGCACCCTGACCGCTGTCTCTCTGGTCCCACGTCCTGGTTTCCAGTTGATGGGACGGAGTGGGGCACACGGACCAAATCTGGTCACGGTCACGGTCCTCCCGTTATTCATCGATTTGCTAGAGCGGGCACAGTAACATCTCCATAGTGAGACTTGTTACTGTGTTGGGCATATTGAATATATCACGGGGAGCTTGTCAGGCTCTGCCATGCGAGCAAGATACTCTCGGTAGCTTGCCAGGCTCTCCGAGAGGGGCGGAGGAATCGAACTTGGGTCGGCCATGTTGGCCACTTGCAAGGCAAACGCCTTACCCGCTGACCAAATCTGAGGATGATTTTTTCTTTTTTCCAGGTGGGGCAGGGCCATTCCTGGTGGTGACAGAGGCCAGACTGGTGGTGCCTGTGAGGTCTTACAAATCAGGTCCAACCAGGGTCTTGACCCACACAAGGCAAATGCTGTAACAGCGCCACATTCCCAGACCTTGAATTAATTAAAAAAAAAATAGAGCTGCAGAGATGGCCTGGCGGGTATCGGGCCCTGGTCTTGTAGGTGACCCAGGTTCGATCCCCAGCACCCTCTGGTTCTCGGAGTCCCGTGGGGAGTGATCCTTAAACACAGCTGGGTGTGGTGGCCCCAAAACAAAACAAAACAAAAATTGATCTGCATTATTAGTTTTATTATTATTAATTTTATTATTAAATTCACTATAGAGTGAATTTAAATCATTATGTTGTATACCTAAGATGAATGTCATACCTCAATAAAACAATTCTGGTATAAATCTTACTCTTTAAAAAATTTAATCAAGGACCTGGAGCGATAGCATAGGGGGTTGAAGGCACGTAGTTGCCTTTCAACCTTGAAGCTGATCCTGTTTTGATCCCTGGCACCAAATACGGCCTCCCAAGCACCCCCAGGAGTGACCCCTAAGCCCAGAACCAGGAGTAAGCCCCCTGAGCACAGCTGGTTGTGGTCACCCAAAATAACCAAAAAGATAACATCAAGCTGACCATTCTGGGATCTTCTGTGGGTTTTAGGGGGCAAGGGGGTCACATGTGTTGCTTATTCCCAGCTCAGTGTTCAGGGTTTGGGGCTCCACGGACTTGGTGCTGGGCGTGGAGCCTGGACCAGTAGTGTGCAAAGCTAGTGCTCTGAACATACTCATGGCATTCCATGACACCCTACTGTCCCGTAACAATGTACAGTGAGCATCTTATTTTTTTCTTTTTTGCTTTTTGGGTCACACCCAGCGATGATCAGGGGCTACTCCTGACTCTGCACTCAGGAATTACTCCCGGCAGTGCTTGGGGGACCATGTGGGATGCCGGGGATTGAACCTGGGTCAACTGCGTGCAAGGGAAATGTCCTGCCTGCTGTGCTATCGCTCCAGCCCTGAGCATCTTTAAATGAGCTCAACGCTGAGGGGGTTGGGAGTGAGTCTGCCCTGCTCCACTTGAGGCTGACATTGCCAGAGCCTTGTTTCATTTGCTTCCAGATCCCTCCGGATTCCTCCTGTTCACCTCTAATCAAAGCTCACTGAGTACCGCCTGCTCAAGGCAGTGAACCACCTGCTCAGGGCAGTGAACCGCCCTCTCTCCCAGCCCGAGCCGGCCCTCAGTTCAGATCCTCAGGCTGATGAAATCTGCTGTCCCCCCTCCCCCCAAAGGCTTTTCAAAGAAGCAGTTCCTCCGGACAGGAAACTGCTTTTGTTTCCTCTTTATCTCACCAGGTAGAAGAAAAGGCCCAGGAATCCATGCCAGAATGCTCTCTGGAGTGCTAACTTGAGCACGTCCTGAAAGGCTGGGGAGGCAGGGAGGGAGGGAAGAAGGAAGTAATTCGATTTACAGTTCCAAAGGACTCGGGGTCTAACTGCACCATTTTTATGCTGTTGATAAGATGAGCACTAAGGATGACTTTTTTTTTTTTCGGTTGTCCAAGGAATAAAAGAATTGTTTCCTACTAGCATACTAGATAGGTGGGCTGTGTTTATATTCTTTGCAGCAAGTTCAGAGAGCGGAGCTTTATGACACGGTTCTCTAAGGAGTTCTGCTTCATTTCAGCTGATGGAATGAGATACCTGCTTGGAACCCGGTCTGTAGAGAGGAAACTGAATTCCCAAGTGGGTTCTTAAATTGATTTGTTTCTGCTGAGAAAAGCAGCAAGGCTTGTTGGATTCCTTCTTCAGCAGAGAGAATCATTGTACCAGGCTAGAAAGCTTCCTGCACAACCTTATCAGAAAGTAAAGCAGAGAGGAGAATTCCATCCTATTCTGGGGTGTCTTTTGTCTAAAACCAGGACAAGCAATTCCGAGCCCATCCTGCCTCTGCCTAGGAAGATTTCAGTGAACAGGGATCATCCAAGACCTTGAAAAACAAGTTCTTTTCACCTACTTTGCTGTGTGCTTTGCTCAGTCATTAATTCTGAAGCAGTATCCAGCTGTAAATCACATTCTGACTTTTTTTTTTTTTGGCAGACATGGGTCCTAAAGGACTTTGAACTAGACTTTGCTCAAAGTACCCAGTCAGTACCGTAATTATAATCCAATATGGATCAAGCCATTCTTTTTCTTTTTGGCTTTTCATGTCACACCATGATGCTCAGGGGTTACTCATGGTTCTGCACTCCGGAATCACTCCCGGCAGTGCTTGAGGGACCATATGGGATACTGGGGCCCGAACCTGGGTTGGCTGTGTGTAAGCCCTGCCTGCTGTACTTTCGCTCCAGCCCCTACCAAGCCATTCCTAACCTACAAATCTCATGAACAGTTATTGACAGACACTGCATTAAGGTACTAAAGCTACAAAAAGTCTTGGGGCCGGAAAGAGAAGACAGAGAAGAAGGCGCTTGCCAGGAGTGATCCTGAGTGCAGTCAGGAGTGAGCCCTGAGCACTGTCAAGTGCAGCTCAAAAACCAAAAAATAAGGCTACAAAAAAATAAGACCGCTTATCCTCAAGTGGCTCATGAGAATGGGTTATTCTCTTTGAACTTTATTCTCTACCAGAATGTCTCCTACAGACATGTGTGCAATGACAGAATGAGAGCAGAATTTGGCTGCCGCCTCTTCTATTTTTGATGAGAACAAGATCACGTCTGACCTAAGGGGTCAGAGAGACAGTGCAGTGGTCAAGGTGCTCGCCTTGCATGTGGCTGATCCCAGTTCGATCCCTGGCACTCCATATGTTCCTCCCCGAGCACAGTTAAGGGTCACTCCTGAGCATAGAACCATGAACACTCCTAAGCACTGCTGGCTGGGGCCTAGTGCTTCTTTCTCCCAAACCCTACTCCTACCTACCCCGGGGGTGGGGGGTGGGAAACACCTCATCTACAGCCAGACTGTAGCTTCAAAGCCAGAAAAGACCCTCAGCCCAAGGAATAAAGGGATCGCAGTACTTTTTGGTTGGGGTATGGAGATTGAGCCCAGGGCCTCATACATTCAAAACCTCATACATTCCCACTGTGCCCCCATATTCTCCTTTTTTGGGGGTGGTGGGAAGGGGAGTTCCCACAAGATGCAGCTTTTCCCTTTCCAAATGAACAGTGCTTCTCATGAGCCTGAGACTGTCAGAAGAGTCCGAAGCAGACGATGCAGAAGCCAGCAGTGTTCCTGGCGAGGAGCCGAGGAAGGGTTCAAGTGTGGTGGGTGGTGGAGAGCAGGTGAGGCTGTCTGGTGGGGGGAGGCCGGTGTTTGAGGGGGGCCATAGGCTCTCGCCTCCTCGGCAGGATCTGTGAAGCCAAGACTTGAGGGCCTGGGCAATGTTTGTTTTGTTTCTATTTCTTCCTGAGTTGGAATTCTTTCCAAAAACTGTGTCTCAAGAGGAACGATATTTCCTGAAGCTGCTGCTTCTCGTGTCTCCTTCACATCCTTGGCTTTCTCACAGCACGATAACTAGACCACTCCTAGTGGCCTTGTGGAATCCCACATAATCCACTCATGGGCGTCACCAGCTTGCCACTACTCCGTGGTTTGAAGGACAGAAGTCAAGTGTGACTGTTCCTCCTAACTTCTCTCTTTGGCTTCCATGGTTCTGCTCTGTGCCAATTCAATTTTTTTGTATTTTCAGAGATCGAACTAGGTTTAGTCATATGCAAAGCAAAATGCCTTACTCCAGTACTATTTCTCTGGCTGCAAGTGTTCCTTCTTTTAATCTGTGATTATCTCACACCTCTCTCTCTATAGTGCTGGCTGGGCAAATTTTATCCAGCCCCTATATATATATGTATATTTTGGCTCTTGGGCCATACTGGGTGGTGTCCGGGGGCTACTCCCAGATCAGACCGCATGGTGCTGGGTACCCAACATGGGCCTCCTGCATGCGATGTAAGTGCTCCAGAATGTTCTCTCCAACTCTAAATGGTGTTTTGAGGGGCTAGAGTGATAGCACAGCGGGTAGGGGGTTTGCCTTGTATGCTGCTGACCTGGGTTCGATTCCCAGCATCCTATATGGTCCCCTGAGCACCACCAGGAGAGTAATTCCTGAGTGTGAAGCCAGGCGTAACCCCTGAGCATAGCTGGGTGTGACCCAAAAAAGCAGAAAAAAAATGTTGTTTTGAAATAATGAGGACCCAGAAGCTCTGAGAGGAGCCTCGATGTAACTTGCTCAGGGTCGCCCACAGTGATCAGGGCAATAATCAAAACTCCCTTTGTCCAATTTTGTGCAAAACTGCATGGGGGGGGTCATTGAGCAATTGGACACTCAGGTGGGAAACGGGGCAAGCATTTCACGCACGGGGGCAACCACACATGGCAAAACTACGACGTCCAGACCTGCAGGTTCCCGCTCTTTGTCCATCGTGAAGGTGGGGATGGGCGGATCCAAGTGTGACGCCACCAGCCGGAAGCTGCTGGGTCTGGGGGCGGCGGGGCTGTTTGCGGGGAAGGGCCCCGGGGAGACGAACACCGCCAGAAAGCTGCCCCGCAGCCTGGCCACGTGCTGGACCCTAGTTGTAAGCGAAACGCACCCATCTGCCCTTCCTGCGGGACGCTGGCTCGGGAGAGGGCGGAGGCTGCGTCGGGAAGCGCGCTGCGGCCGCCACCGTCCGGAGTCGCCTTGCTCGACCACTGCGCCTGCGCCGACGCGGCTCCACCCCGCCCCCGGCGAGAGAGGCGGGGCCTGAGCCGCAGGGCGGGAGCGGGACACCGGCTCACCAATAGCAAGGCGGAACGGGGACCACGGGCTCACAAGAGGCCCAATCGCAGCTCCTTTTCGGAAATGCCCCGCGTTCGGCCTGGCTCGGAGAGAGGGCTTGCGTTGCACACGGAGGGTCACGTGACTTGAAAAAGTAAATACGGCCACGTGGTTTCGCCTTGTCTTGGGAAATCTCTGTGGCCCCGGGTATCTCCTGGAACCTTATGGAATGTGCATGGCAGCGAAAAGGGACCGTGGCTGCTGGGAGATAATCTTGCTTTCAGTTACTGTAGGTTCAGTTAATTCATTCATTTAAGTCAGTGCGCATTTTTTCTCTCTTCCAATACCAGGGATAATGAAAGAAGTGGATTTTTATGTGAGAGCATATTCTTAGGACTCTGCTATATAACCTTTAGTCCTTTTATGGTTGATTTGTTTTTTGTTTCTTTTGGGGGAGCTTTGGAACCACACCTGGCGATGCTCAGGGGATACTTCTGGCTCTTCATTCAGAAATCACTCCTGGTGGTGCTCAGGGGATTAGAGCATGCTGGGGATCGAACTCAGGTCAGCCGCGTGCAAGGCAACCGCCCTCCTCGCTGTACTATCACTCCGGCTCCTCCTTTTATGGTTGAAAGACAGGAAGAAAAGAGTGAAAGAGGAAGGAAGGAAAACAATGTGACGTTTTGTTCCCAAAATATTGGAAATAGGCAACAATCTCTTAAAACCGAATTATGCCCCATCATCCATAGATAAGAGTGATGCTACTGAAGAGCTTGTTTGAACGTAAGGCATTAAGATATGGAATATTTATTATTTCTTTGGCTTTTGGGTCACACTTCTCTATGCTTGAGACTCCTGACCCAGTGCTCAGGGGTCCACATTCAGTGCCACGGATCAAATCTAGGTCAACTGCTTGCAAGGCAAGTGTTTTACCTTCTGTATTATTTCTCTGACCCCACGATGTGAAATATTTTTAGCACAGCGAAGTGTGAGTAGTCCAATAAGAAGGTGATTGCCTTGTGTGCAACTGACCTTGCTTCAATCCCTAGCACCAATATGGTCCCCAGACCCCCACCAGAAGTGATTTCTGAGCACAGAATCAGGAGAAAGCCCTGAGGACCGCTGGGTGAGAACAAAGAAAGAATTAGAATCTGGGGCTGGAGATATGGCTCAACGGTAGAGAATTTACCTTGCATGTGTGAAGACCTGAATCTGAATTTCAATATCTATGGCTCTTGAACACTGAACATAGAGCATCCCGAGTGTGGCTCCACACTCCGCCAATAAAAAAAGAAAAAAGAATCAGAAGTTTCTGAGAGGGGTTGGAGCGATAGCACAGCGGGTAGGGCGTTTGCCTTGCATGCGGCCAACCTGGGTTCGATTCCCAGCATCCTATATGGTCCCCTGAGCACCACCAGGAGTAATTCCTGAGTGCAGAGCCAGGAGTAACCCCTATGCATTGCCAAGTGTGACCCCCCCCAAAAAAAGAAGAAGCTTCTGAGAATGTAGCTGGGTGGTACAGCACAACTTTTGCATATATGTGACCCTAGACTTGATCCCTGAACACACATATACAAAGTGGAGATTATTCAAAGTTTATTGCATTTGATGACTACAAATGTGAAAATGGGAAAATAAGTGTGTTGAAGCCTTTTAACTATTTGAAAAAGAAAAGAGTTGTGGGGGTCAGAGAGCTGGTATGAGGTTAAGTTGCTTGCCTTGGGGGTCAGAGAAGTAGTATAATAGGTTAAGACACTTGCCTCCTACACAGCGAACCTGGGTTCAATCCTCACACCTCATATGGTCCCCCAAGTCCACCATGAGTGATGCCTGAGCACAGAGCCTGGAGTAAGTCCTGAGCACAGCCAGGGATATCACAGACTGCCACCCACCCAGTAAAACAGCTGCTTGCTTTGCATACGGCCAACTGAAGTTCAAAGCCCATCACAATGCAAGGCTTCCCCTATCAGGAGTCACTCTTGATCACAGACCAAAGAAAAGGCCCTCCCTGAGAACCTTCAGATGTGGCCCAAAATAAGGCAAGAGAAATAGACAGAGAGTCATAGAAAATCCATTTGAAAAATGTAGGCAGATGGACGGAGAGGGAAGATGGCTCAAAGGACTGGAGTGCATGCTTGGCACGGATGCACTCACTTGGAAGCCCCAATTCAGATTCTCTGCCACTTAATAAATGCAGAACTTTGGGCAGGTGCCTCTCTGCTTAGGAAAATAAGCAAGAGAAGGTGGAACTAGAGTTCCAACTTCGAAAGGTTATGCAGGGAAGGATACTGGGAACATTGGTGGTGGAGAATGGGTACTGCTGGAGGGATGGGTACCTGAACATTGTATGAATGAAACGTCATCTTGAAAGTTTGTAAGTCTGTAACTACCTCACGGTGATTCATTAAAATAACATTTTTTTTGCTTAGTTTTTTTTTTAATTTGGTTCCTTTAGCCAGAAGTCATTCATGAGGTTTTCCCAATGGGAAAATGTATGGGTTGTTTCTTCCAAATGAAATAGCCATTCTTGGTGCAGTTCCAGAACAGCTAACAGATCACAGGAAGACAGTTCTTTGGGCCCTTGTTTGAATAGAATAACATTTTAAAAGAATTTTTAAAAAAGGTATGCAGAGGACTTAGCAACACAAAGCCATGTGACAGAATAAACAGCAGTAGATGGTGGTGGTGGATCAGTTTCAGGTTGCATGCAGAGGCCCTCCCGTTGATCATCGATTTGCTCGAGCGGGCCCAGTAACGTCTCCATTGGAGACTTTGTTGTTACTGTGTTTGGCATATCGAATACGTCACGGGGAGCTTGCCAGGCTCTGCCGTGCGGGCGAGATACTCTCTCTCTCTCTCGAGTATACTCTCGGTAGCTTGCAGGGCTCTCCGAGAGGGGCGGAGGAATTGAACTCGGGTCGGCCATGTTGACTGCATGCAAGGCAAACGCCCTACCGCTGTGCTATCGCTCCAGCCAGAATAATAGTACAGCAGGTAGGGTGTTTGCCTTGCCCAAGGCAGACATTTCTTTCCCCTAGCTGACAGGAGTGATCCCTGAGTGCAGAGCCAGGAAAGAACTCAGAGTAGAACTGGGTGTGCCCTGAAAACCAACCAACCAAGAAAGACTGAAAGAAACGAGTCATCCAAATGACAAGAGATTTGTCGTGTTCAGGAGACAAGACTAAGCCATCTCCAAACACAAGGTCTTTCAACAGATTCTTGTTGCGGGGAAGGGAAACACAGGAGGCAGGCAGAATCCTCTCTCCAGAGGCGACGCTCATTTCTTACAGTACTGATTTCTGTTCAGGTTCTTGTATTTCTTGTCATATGGGGTCTTGGAAAAGCACATGGCAGCAGCACGGTCACAATGGCAGAGGAAATTCTCGCAAGCATTGTTCTTGCCTGGAAAGAACAAGAGGAAGAGAACTGAGCAGGAGGGAGGAACCCACCTGCTGTACAGGGCAGGCGCAGGAGAGTTAACTGCAGAAATCTGATAAACAATTTCCGCTGCAAAGTTAGGGTTAATAGAGTTACTGAATCAAAGCACAGGAATGACAGCTGCACAATCAAAGCGACTTTTGGGACAGTGACTAAAAGTGTGTTGCTTATGTGAAACCTAGATGGAACTCGACAGTCTGTGCCTCCCCAGGTGGTCACAGGTGAGGCTGCGCAAACTCCCTTGGGAAAGTCTGTCGCCAAAGGGGCTCACTGCCTCCAGACCCATTAGCCACAGAGTGTTGATCAGATGGGCAAGGAATTGTAAAGTGCAGGAAACAGTAAAACATATACTCAAGGCACAGCATCGTACATTTCCTCCTCCTTCTCCCCCCCCTCCTCTTCCTCCTCCTCCTCCACCACCTCCTCCTCCTTCTCCTCCTCCTCCTCCTCCTCCTCCCTCCCTCCATCCCTCCCGCCCTCCCCAGATGTGGCTCTGAGGTCAGGGATCTCTCCTTGTGGAGCTCAGAGGGCCTTATGTGGTGATGCTGGGGATTATGCCGGGGCAACCACATGTAAAACAAACTCCCTACACGCGGTCCTGTCTCTCTAGTCTCAGGTGTTGCTTCCAGGTTCAATCCCAGGCACCCTGTGTGGTCTCCTGAGCCCTACCCAGAGTGATCCTTGAGTACACAGCCAGGAGTAAGCCCTGAACACTGCTGACTACGGCCCCAAGTCAAAACAAAACAAAACAAAACACCAATGCCAGGGCAAGAAAGATAGTACAGGAAGTAAGGTGCTTGTCCTCATGCTACTGTCTATGGTCCGATCCCCCACACCACATACGGCCACCTGAGGATCACCGGGAGACACTCCTGATGAGCAGCGGGAGGGAGATGTGTCCCCAAACAAAACAAATACCCAAACACCTGCCTAGCAATGTGGCTTAGTGGCAGAGAACCTGCCTTGTGGGCAGGAGGTTTTGAGTTTGACCCCTGTTGCAACCCCATATCCCCGGGTGGCATCCCTCTGCCCCTGACTCCAAGAGACCCCAGTCATAACAGTAGTCATAGCCACTAGCCACATGGAGAGGAGAGCAGAGAAGAGAAGAAAAGGAAGAAGACAGACACCAGCCCTTGCCAAGGTAGTGCCTGGGCAAGTGACTCGGTCTTCCGGGGCTGAGTTTCCTCCCCTGTCAGTGGGGGCAACAGCAGTGTCTACCCGCGAGACCGTTTCAGGGCCAGAGGGGACCCAGCACCTAGGGAACCGCGGAACCATAGCTGAGAGGGGGCTGCCCACTTTGCGAATCGCAGTGATGCCACCCCAAGCCTGCCAGGGTCAACTAGAAGGAGGTAAACTTACTGCTGCAGGTGACCTCGGACTTGGTGCACGAGTAGGAGTACCACTTGAAGTAGGGGTGTTCCAGGACAGAGCTGCAGTGTCCCAGCTTTACTGCTTGGCCGTAGCAGTCGTCATGTGTCTGGCAGCACCTGGAGAGGGGGGAGAGTCAGTCAGCCCTCGCTGTCCCAGGGACGGGTGACGCGGCCCAGGAGACGCCGGTCCTTTGGCTCGAAACAATGGCACTTCAGCCCGTTTGCGGAAGACAACTTAACAACTGGTTGTAGGAAACTCTCCTGGCTCTAGTCGTGAGCAGCGCCAGGGGACAGCTGAATGGGCGCCGCCTCTCTGTTTTGCAACGTTTCGCCTCTAGAGGGCAGCAGCGACCACTGCCTCGGAGCTCGGACTCTGCTTTCATCCCGGGTAGTGCTTCTATTTTTATTATTGATTTTTTTTTTAAAAAAAGCTTTTTTCGCTTTTTTTGGGGTCACACTCAGCAATGCTCGGGTTATTCCTGGATCTGCACTCAGGAATTACTCCTGGTGGCGCTTGGGGACTATATGGATGCCAGGGATTGAACCTGTGCAAGGGAAATGACACACCCTCTATCACTCCAGACCTTGTCACTTGTCACTTGTCACTTGTCACTGTGCAGTTCCTCCAACAACTAGGAGTTCACTCCAGACACAGGGCGCTCTCCCCGTTTTCATGTTTCTTTGTTTCATGTTTCCCCCTCCCAGGACCAGGGACTCAAAGAGGGGGTCTCAGGATTCTGACAAGTTTCTGACAATGTTTCTGACAAGAAGTGAATAACTGTGCTAACGTCCCAAATGTGCCTGCTTCCTCTCAGTGCTCCCCCGGGAGCTCCCTGCAGTGGACCTGCCTCATACCGTGGGCTCGCCCCCCGCCCCCCCCCACTCACCTGTCCAGTTCGTCCACGGGGGTGCCGTATCCGCCCACGCCACAGTAGCAGCCGTACTTGTTAAATTTCAGAGGGTTCATGCTAGGGATCAGGCACGAGATCATTTTGCCGAACTGCGGAATACTTTGTGCGTTGAGGGTGCTGAGACAGTCCACTGTAGTGGCCACTGCAAAAGGGCAGGGAGAGCTGAAATCCCTCCTGGCGGGCTCTGCTGGTGCCTCACACACCCCGCTGCCTGCTTCCCCCTCAGCCCTCTGCACCTTGCAGCAGCAGAGAGCAGAATCTGGCAAAGTGAGCAGATTTCTCCCCTCTCTTTGTTATGATTTTGGATTTTGGCCACATCTGCCTATTCTCAGGGTTTACTTCTGGCACTATGCTTAGGACTCACTTCTGGTGGGCTCAGGGGACTAAAGGATGCCAGAGATTGAATCCAGGTTGGCTGAAGCAAGGCCATGCCCAAATCAGTGAACTATGGGTCCAGTTCAAAATTAGAAGAGACCACTGTACTGTCCACTTTTAAAAGTTCATCCACTTTCCTTCGCAGTTCCTCCAACAACTAGGAGTTCACTCCAGACACAGGACGCTCTCCCCGTTTTCATGTTTCTTTGTTTCATGTTTCCCTCTCCCAGGACCAGCGACTCAAGAGGGGGGTCTCAGGATTCTGAGACTCTGGAGTCAATGGGGTCAGACGTCTGGAAGGTAAACGAATGGGATCATCATTAGACTAACGGAGCGTCTCCCTGGCACGAACTTGAGGCCCCAAAATTAAGACTGATAAGTGACAAGGATAACGATAAGTCCCCTCCGCCTGCAGTGACCGCCCAAGCCCAGCCCCGCGGCCAGGGGGAGCAGGGCACTGGCCCCTGCCTCCCTCAAGAGAAGCCGCCAGGAAGCGCTTTGGGGGTCACCCGTGGCTTCGCCTCCAGCCTGGCCCCTTCTCTCTCTGGCCGGCCGCTCCCTGTGAGTCAGACTCCAGGCACAGGCGGGAGGCGGCTGGGGGCTGCAGCCTGTGGGGGCAGAGGCCCCACCTGGGAGCTGAGGCTGAGTGGCCTGCCCCCGGGGCATCTCTAGCTCCCCTGCAGCCCACCTGCTCTTGGCAGAGGACACAGGGCCCGGGAGGGGAGGGGGGTTCCGAGCACTGGGAGCGCCTCCCTCTGAGTGGCCAGTGGCCAGTCTCTGCCCAGCCTGGGGCCATGGGGGCTCAGCTGCCTCCAGTCTGAGGGGAGGATGAATGACTAAAGGCTGCCTGGAGGAGGCGGGATTTGGGTTCCAGTGTGTGTGCCTCCCCTCACTCACTCCAGACACAGGGCGCTCTCCCCGCTCCACAGTCAGACTCTCTGGAATCCTGGGGACCCCACTAGATGTTGGAGGAGCAGGAAGGATCAGGAAGACACAAGGTCAGAGCTGCCGAGAACTTGACCAAGTCCAGGAGGTGGAGAGAGCAGAGGGGCTCTCTCAGCTGGGGCGCGTCTGCCTTCTGAGGGCTTAGCTGGGGTTCAGGATGAAGGTAAACTGTGCCTGAGAGGGGGACTTCAGGGAACCCCAAGATAGAATTTTTTTCCTCTTTGGGTCACACCCAGCAATGCACAGGGGTTACTTCTGGCTCACGCACTCAGGAGTTACTCCTGGCGGTGCTCAGGGGACCATATGGGATGCTGGGAATCGAACCCGGGTCAGCCATGTGCAAGGCAAGCGCCCTACCCGCTGTGCTATCGCTCCAGTCCCAAGAAAGAATTTTTTAAGTGGTTTTATTTTCTGAAGTGTTTGTTTGTTTGTTTGGGGCCACACCTGAGGTTGCGCAGGGCTTTCTCCATGCCGGGCACCAGAAATCACGCCTGGCAGAGTTTGAGGGATGGAGTTCTAGGATGGACTCCGGTCAGTGGGTGCAACCTACTGCACTATCCCTCTGGCACCCAGTATATTTTTTGTTTAGCTTTGATTTTGATTTTTGGGCCATATTCAGTGACACTCAAGGATCACTTCTACCTGGTGGTGCTCAGGGGACCATCGATGGCACCAGAAATTAAATCAGGTTGGCAACTTTCTAGGTCAAGAGCCTTCCCCACTGTACTATTCCCCAACCTGAATTATTTATCTATTTTGTTTTGTGTTGAAAGCTAAATTCCAGAATCTGGAGCCAAAAGGTGGAATGCTGCCCTGGGGGGCACAGCCAGGTGTGAGACATCCTAGGGAATTTCCCCTGAAGCTGCCTTTAACCAAACCTGAGTGTATGTTTGACCCACCATCTCTGATATGCAAAAGTCTAATCCAAATAAAAATGCTTGTTATTCTTTCAATGTTACTGGTTCTAAGTGACACCTAGAGGAAGCTGAGGACAGGCTCTCATCCCAGAGTCGCTTAGATCCTGATGCCGTGCTGTGTCTGTCTTATTCTGTCTTTTTTTTTCCTTTTTGTATGCTATCGCTCCAGCCCCTCTGTTTCTTTTCTTAATTCTTGCGGTGCCCGTGCTTCAGACTTGCTCACCCTGGGCTGGTCCCCAGTCATTTTAGGGCCACACCTGAAGGTTTTCAGGGTTTCCCTTACTGCACTCAGGGATCACTCTTGGCAGGCACTAGAGAACATATGGGGTGTTGCGGATTGAATTCTATTATCTCGCTCTACTATCACCCAGGCCCCCTGAATGTAAATATTTACATTTTATTTTTTTGGGCCACACTCAGCAGTGCTCAGGGCCTATTCATGGCTCTGTGCTCAGAAATCACTTCTAGCAGTGCTAAGAACCATATGGGATGTCAAGGATCGAATCTGAATCTGCCACATGTGAGGCATGCATCGTGCCCGCTGTACTATCTTTCCAGCCACATCATTTAATTTTAGGGGGCTGGAGAGATAGTACAGCAGGTAGGGCACTTGCCTGGCACACAGCCAACCTGGGTTTGGTCGGTTTGGTTCTCAGCATACTATATGGCTCCCCGAGTTAGCCAGGAGTAATTTCTTTCTTTCTTTCTTTTTTTTTTTTTTTTGGGCCACACCGGTGATGCACAGGGGTTACTCCTGGCTCATGCACTCAGGAATTACTCCTGGTGGTGCTCGGAGGACCATATGGGATGCTGGGAATCGAACCCGGATAGGCCAGGTGCAAGGCAAACACCCTACCCGCTGTGCTATCGCTCCCCCCCCAGGAGTAATTTCTGAGTGCAGAGCCTGGGGTCACCCCATTGCCAGTAGGCCCCCAAATCTTTAAAATTCATTTATTTTTAGGCGAACTACCCATTGATTCTTAGGAGTCCTCAGAGTTTCGACTAGGAATACCCCGCCGGGGTTGGTGCTCTGGCCTGGAGATTGTTGCTGCTCAAGCCCTGTATACTCAGGGCCACCACGGGCCACTCCTGGCAGGGATGGAGGGGGAGGGGTGCCACGACGGGACTCGGAGCCTCATGCACACCAGCCTGTGCTCCAACCCTTTTTTTTTTTAATTTTTGGGTCACACCCAGCGATGCACAGGGGTTACTCCTGGCCCTGCACTCAGGAATTACTCCTGGCGGTAGCTCAGGGGACCATATGGGATGCTGGGAATCGAACCCGGGTCGGCTGCGTCCCTCTCCACTGTGCTATCACTCCAGCCCCTGCTCCAACCCTTTGACTGTCTCCCTGAGCCCACATACACATTGGTAGGCCTCAGGGGAGCCCCAAGTAAGGGCCTCGGCTCTGTCTCCTGTAATGGGGTCCCCTTCCAGAGCAGGCAGCAATTAGCTGCACCCGGGTGGAGGTGGGGGGGTCTCCTACCTGTGAACAAGGCGGCCAGTACGAGCAGCTTCATCTCGTCTCGGCGGGGAGGAAGAGAAAGCCCTGAAGCCGCCCGGGCCTCCCTCCTTATACCTACTCAAAGGCCCCAATAAAACTCTAGTGTTTGCTTTGCTCACAGCTGACTCAGCAATGGTTGACCATGAGACTGTCTGCACTGGAATGAACTTGATGACCATCGAGATTGTAGGTGCTATTTATAGAACCCTAAAGCCTCTGCCAAGACACTTCTAGAAACAATAAACTTGTATAGTAAAGTCGCAGGCTATAAAATCAATACCCAAAAGTTCGTGGCTTTCCTATACACAAATAATGAGAGAGAAGAAAGTGATATGAAAAAGGCCGTCCCGTTCACAATCATGCCTCAGAAAACTAAGTACCTCGGAATCAGCTTAACTAAGGAGGCAAAAAACCCATACAAAGAAAACTACAAAACGCTACTTCAAGAAATAAAAAAGGACACATATGATAACATTGGTGTGTGCTTTCTCCTCTGCCACAAAGAGTTTAGGTTTATCGGGTGACACCCATCACAGAGCTCCTGAAGCACCTGCATCCTTCTGTGTTTATTGAAATGCCGCTGTACACATTTTAGGATAACATTGATATGTTCTGTTTCCCTTGCCACAGGGAGCTTAGGTTTATCACAGTGCTCCTGAGACACTTTCATTCCACTGTGTTTATCTGTAAACTCTTCTCTGTACTCTCTTTCCCAAATGGTCTATCACCCTTTTCCCCTAATCAGACTGCTAACTTGTAAGGTCAGATTCCTCAGAAACCTATGATTTTATATTTATGAATGAAATACTGCCTTTCTCCTCTCCTTATGTCTTTTGAATAGTTTACTTTAAAGCAATGTCCTTTTTGTATAGACACAGGAAGACAGTTAATATTATGCTTTTGTAACTTGGGAGTTAATTGACTCTGTATAATATTCACGCTGGGACATCTGCTCCTCGACTTAAGCCTCAGTTTCCCTTAGTTCCTAGCACCTGACTGGACTAGGGCTAGCTATGAGATATCCTGGCATCGAAATGGGCCAGGCCAAAGTGCCACAATACTCGACATTAAGTTAAGAGCATGACCATGGATAAATGTTGTTATGATCCAAAAAGTAACGATGATATTAGGACCCTGCTAGGGTTAGGAAAGACGAATCTGGCCTGAGCACTGTAGTCTGAGATCTATAGCGAGATGGCCCGAGGAGAGCAATCCTATAAGCTTAATGTGTCTATTACTGTGTCCATACAAAATGATTAATATTATTAATGCTTATATGTTTGTTGGACTAAGGAGAGGGAGAAACACACCCATAGTAGGAATTTCGGTCTTGGGAGAGTTGTCTTGCTGGATGAGAATCTGTCCTAGAAGAATCTTCCCTTGAGGGAAGGACTTAACCTCTGTTGATTGTGACCCATCTATGTGCATGCCCCAACCCCTCATGCTTTGGAATTTAACTAGGCTGTAAGAGTGGGCTGGGAGATCAAGAAGGATAATGAAGTAGTTTGGGGGAGGAAGAAGCAGGAGGAGAATTAGAAGCGAATGGAGATGAGGTTGGAATAAACTGCAATTGAGACCAACCAGCCTGAAATGAAATGGAATGAAAGTGTCTCAGGGGCACTGTGATAACCCTAAGCTCCCTGTGGCAAGGGAAACAGAACATACTAATGTTGTCCTAAAATATGTACAGCGATATTCCTTCTTTCTCCTGCCCATCACCATTGGAAGTGGCCTGAGACTACCGAAAACGGGCAGCGAGAGATAGAGTGCTGCAGCACTGTTAGTATTTACTAACAGTGAGTGTTAGTAAATACATAGACACGAGGAAATGGAAACACATGCTGTGCTCATGGATTGGGAGATTGTCAAAATGGCAATGCTCACCAAAGCATTGTACAGATTCAATACGATCCCTATAAGGGTACTCATGACACTCTTCAAAGAAATTGATCAAACACTCTTGAAGTTCATATGGAACAACAAACCCCCATGAATAGCTAAAGCAATTCTCAGGGGGAAAAAAAAGATGGGGGTATCATCACCTTCCCCAACTTCAAACTGTACTACAAAGCGGTAATAATTAAAACAGCATAGTCGATATACAGCCGAAGAGAAGGACTACATGGAGGGCAGGATCCACAGATCCCGAAGGAAAAAAAAAAAACAGGTTCCAAAAAGAGCCGAGATCATCGGGAAGTCCCAGATGGGGTAGGTACCGCATCCCGCCTCCCCCAGATGGAACCCCGGTGACCAGAAGCCTCTACAAGCACAGCTCGAGTATGCGGGAAATAGGACTTTTCCTCAAAATCGTGCGGCCGCTTATGCGGCCGCGCGACATCTCTCTATATACAAAGTGATCCATGGGAAGTAAACCACCCATGGATCTCTGAATTTTCTCTCTGAAAATCATAGTTAAGTTTGGAGCACGGCCACAGCCCCAGAAAACACAAGGACTTAATGCAGAACCCAGCAGCTTGGAGCAGAAAAGTGAACGGATTATGCGTTAATCCAGGCCATCAAGTCTGCTGGAGGGGAAAGGGGGTTGCCCCATTCGCCCTCTCTTCTCTGGAAAGAAGGATGGCGGCCGCATGGGAGCCTTGTGGACAGCAGGTATGAGCCGGGAGTGTGGGGGCGACTAAAACCTCATGGGAGGGGGGGCGTTCCGGTCCGTCCTTCGCGCCCTACCGAGGCCACCAGTTGCCCCCCACGAGCGGCTCTCCAGCACAGCCACGGCCCCAGAAGCACAAGGACTTAATGCAGAACCCGGCAGCTTGGAGCAGAAAAGTGAACGGACTATGCATTAATCCAGGCCACCATGTCTGTCCGGAGAGGAAAGGGTGTTGCCCCATTTGCCCTTTCCTCTTTGGAAAGAAAGATGGCGGCCGCATGGGAGCCTTGTGGACAGCAGGTATGAGCCGGGGGTGTGGGGGCGACTAAAACCTCATGGGAAGGGGGGCGTTCCAGTCCGCCCTTCACACCCTACCGAGGTCACCAGTTGCCCCCCACTAGCGGCTCTCCAGCACGGCCACGACTCCAGAGCACAGAAACCAATTTCTTAACTATCTGACTTTCAGTAGAAATACTTCCAGGGTCAATAAGTAAAATAGCAGAAATCCAAAACCAACATTTAATTCTTGAACCCAGCTGTAGAAAGCAAATCACTTCACAATGCTTTTTCAGCATGTCTGATTTGGGGGGGGAGGGGTAAACTCTAAATAATAGTGGTGAATCTTGTATTGAAACAATGAATCTAATCAAAGCAGATAGAGTGTTAACTAGAATTCATCTGCCCCACAGGGACTGGGAGGGGTGGGGGTGGGGTTTTATTGGGGTTCTTCATGGTAAAAAATAAGTATTGGTAAAGGGAAATGTGTTTGATATTTGCATGACTGAGACCTAAACCTGAAAGCTTTGTAACCTTTCCCACGGTGATTCAATAAATAAATAAATAAAAAAGAAAAAAAATAAAACAGCATAGTCACGAATCACGACCATCCTGTTATTCGTCGATTGCCTCAAGCAGGCCCCAGTAACGTCTCCTTCATACTAGCCCTGAGATTTTTAAGAAAGTGCTATATTCAAGGCTCTTTAGGAGAATGAGACCATCATTGTTACTGGTATTTGGCATATTGGGTATGCCACGGGGAGTTTGCCAGACTCTGCTGGCAATAGTATTAGCATAGCATAGTATTAGAACAAAAACAGACCTGCAGACCAGTGGAAGAGGGTTGAACAACCTTACATATACTCTCAAATATATGAGCACACAATCTTTGTTTTTTTATCTTATTTTTAAAAATTTTTTATGTAGGAATACTGCTATTTATTCAGCCACTGATTAGCTGATTGAATTGTGCATGAACTCCACCTTACTTTTTTTTTCATTTTTTACAATTTTATTGATTGAATCACCGTGAGAGCAGTTACAAAGCTTTTGGGTCTAAGTCTCTGTCATACAATGAAACACCCGTACCTTCACCAGTGTCCATTCTCCACCACCAAAAACCCCAGTATACCCCCATCCCACACCCTCCCCCTACCTGTGGGACAGATGATTTCCACATTACTCTCTATCTACTTTGATCACATTCAATATTTTGACACCAGACCCACCATTATTATTTGGAATTTTACCCCAACACTCATATCTGCTGAAAAAGCAACCGTAGACAATTTGTTTTCTGTTGCTGGTTATGAATAACATACGATGTCCTGCGGCTGCAGTAGTGGCTGCGCAATTTTGAAATTCCGAAATTTTAACACTTAAATCTGGAGGGATTTCTTCCAAAAGCCGCTGGGTTCTGAGATTTGTTTGAGTCTCTGGGATCATGGCCATTAAGCAGCTTGATCAAGAGCCAGAGAGGCTGTTTGTTGGCTATGACTTGGGGTCTCGTTGGGGTGGGGAGGACAGGACCGGCTCCACCCCCATCCCATGAGGCCCTGTGTGTCTTATCACTGTGGGCCCAAACCTGACTGTCCAATGGCCTCTGGAGGATGGCGGCCACCTGGCCGCCAGGGGGAACAGGCCAAGGCATGAAACCATGGACCCAGCACTGCAGGGACCAGATGCATTTCTGCCAAAAGCCACTGGGTTTCGAGATTTGTTTCTGAGTCTCTGGGATCAAGGCCATTAAGCAGTTCAATCAGGAACAAGAGAGGCCATGCCTCCAGTTATATAGCTGAGCCGGAGGTGGTTTGTGGGTGTGTTTCCCACATACCTAACTTTTGGCCGTTTACTTTCTTGGTAAACTTTGCCCCAAGTTTTTAGGGTCTGGCCAAAGGCACAGCAGCAATTTTGCGGTATCTGGAAGTCTGAAGGCGCCATCAGCTGCTGATGCACTCACCTCACAGGTACAGCTTGACCTGCTGGCGGCACCATACCCCAAGCATACAATCTTTGATAAGGGAGAAAGAGATGCAAAGAGGAGCAAGGAGAGTCTCTTTAACAAATGGTGCTGGCAAAACTGGACAGCTACATGCAAAAAAAAACAGGCTCAGACCTCTACCTAACACCAT